CAAAAAAATCCAAATGCAACGAAGTGGAGAGTTTCCTCGTGTCCTCTTCTCTCGACTGCGACAGTTGGCTGCGTTCAAATGCACTCGAAGAATTAAATAATTATCTTACTAGGTGTCCTCTGCATACACAGGGCGAGGGTAGTTGGAGCATCTCAAAAAACGCTGTTCCGAGTGGGTATGTATTTATTTCTCTGGCTCGCCTGTGTTTATCGCGGAGGGTCCCTGTTTCTCCGTGGACTGGCCCTACCTCTTCTTCCGCCCCCTTTAACTGGAGCCCGTTCATTCGTTCCTCGCTGTCTCATTGGCCACCGCGCCTCATCAATCCCAGGTGCCCCTCCAATAGCAGGTAGCGATTTGGCGACTTAATAGTGCAACGCCATTTTCCACTAATAATTACCGCCCACTTTTAGGAGAAGATTTGGGGGGTATACAAGCCAAAAGGATCACGACAAGAGAGAGGAGAGAACATATTTGTGTTGTTTATCTTCCGTATAGGTGCCGAGTTGGAGGGTGAATTAAAAATTAAAAATGTGGCATTTGATGAGAAATAGACAAGATTGGAGATTGATATAATATTTAGATAGAGGGGGAAATGTTAATCAGTGGTCGTTAGGGGATTTGTTATTTACTAAATCTAAATATAATGCCACAGCTCAGTGTATTTTACATGTGGGAAGTCCAAAGTGAGCACGGTGCCATAACAACCCACACAGAGCTATAGCCGTGCTATAAAATATATGGCAAACAATTAACCACCCTGATATCGAAAATGACACCAACAGCGCAAAATGTTCAGTACGCATTGCCAGTATAAGTGCGAGAGAGACATTCTTTTCAGCCATCTTTACTTCTATAAAGCACAACACATTGCTTGAATATTCAATTATTTTATTGACTCCCAAGTCTACTAAAATACTGAGCGTGCATCAAGTCCCTCTGGTAAAAAAAAAAAAATGATTAAAAAAACCATGCCAACCAGGTATTGATGTACTAATGCAAAACATTTTAAAATGGACTCAATGTGCTGGCCCCCCCCCCCCCCCACACCACTTTTTTTTTTTTTTTTTTAAATGTATCAGACCAAATTATGATAAATTGTTGTATTTTAAACAGATCACATACATGTATATTAAATTCTGATATATGCTAATAGTAATAATAATCGAGTAACGTTAAAGCATAGAATCATTCAAATCTGAGAAAGTCTCGCTACCTAATTCTTCACAGCTGAAAAAGCATGTGTGGCTCCATATGGAGTCCAGTGGTTTTTCACTGGTTGTAGAACCACAACTGGGCCTTTAGTGGTGCTCCAGTGCTCACACTGGCAACCGCCAGTGCTTGTTGTTGGTTCTTTTTAATGGTTCCATATGTTGCTGGTTCTGCCTCCTCGGTGGTTCTCACATTCACCACAGCAATTAAGTTACATGTTATGGTGGTGAACTGCGCTTAGATCCGCGGTAACCATTAGTGACCTATGAGGTCGAGCCACTCCTGAACTCACAAAAATAAAGTGTAAGCAATAAAAGTCGGATGTTTTTCACTTGATATTGAATTAAGATGTTGTGGAGCTCCCTGTTAGCATGTCATGTTTGGTTTTAGCCCCCCAAAAAGATGGCCACAAGAAAACAAAAGGCTGCTGCATACAGACACGGTTTTACACTCTGTTCACCAGAATGTTCTTCAGGAAATTGACTTTTTGGTTCACATACAGGCACAAACACATAAAACTGACAGATGGAAGTCTTTTTTTTTTTTTTTTTTAGAAAAACCAAAGATTTGCTTCATTTACTGGCAACTTCCCATTACAAGCATGCACTGAATCTGCGTGCAAATGGGTGGATATACAGGCCATACACCACAGCTGCTCATTCACATACAAGTCAAAGGAAGTTTAGCCTACTTACATTTTCACCAAATCACCCAAGTGCTCCAACACCTCTCCCTGTCTGCCACTGCTCTCCGGTGCTCCCTAAGCGACAAATAATGTTGAACAAGGCGAGTGAAACGTTTAAAAACTTTTTTTGAAATTGTTCTGTCTCTTAGCGCAGAGTGGGACAGGCTGAGCGTTGTGTGTGCCATTCTTCCAAGTCTATTTCAGCCCGCACCACAGGAAACGCAGGAGCTGATCCAAGTTCAAAGTCACGTCTGCCGACCCCTATAAGAAGTTCTTTATTTCTCTGGAAAACCACAAAACCTTCCCCAGATAGGGGGGAAAAGAGAAAGAAAATTAAAAAAGAAAAAAAATCCATCGGGTAAAGAGGCACATGGCTGCGGGTTTTCCCTTCTGCTTGGAGAAGAAAGGGGGTAGCCTATTGAAAATCCCCCAAAGACCAGTATTTCAACAGGTTTTAGGATCAGTAATGCACATTGAGACTTGGCTTACGCATTTAAAATATAAATCACATGAAATATTACCCAGAATGTGATCTGAAGTCAGAGCTGACATAAAGTAACAGCTTTTACAAGCTTATGGATGAAGTCAGAGTCTTGATCACATAAGGGCGCTCTGCCTGTGCATTATAATGGGGGCCAAAGGCGTATTTCTCCTCTCTGTTATCTGACAATATCAATATGTTGACACACTGGAAGGTTACTAGTGTGGCTTCCGTGACCTTGTGTTTCATGGATGTTTGACCTGTGACCCGTTAAGACCACATATGTTGCCCTCTTGACTCCTTTTGGTAAAATAACCCTGTTTATGACAAAGCGTTCCTTTGTTTTAGAAGAGAGGAGAAGAGAGAGACGGAAAGGAGGTAGAGAGAGAGATAGGAGCAGAGAGAGAGGAGAGAGAGAGAGAGAGAGAGAGGTCCGTCTGAGGCATCGACAGCTTTGGGTAATTTGGAAGCAATAAGTCAATAAAATTTAACCCATTCCTTCAAGAAAGTTCAAACTCGAGTTTCCCCTCAGCAATTTAGGTAATTGAAAAATGTGCGTTGTATACATTAATTTCCACTCATTTGACATGTCAAAATATGATAAATGTGGGAAAACTCGACAGCAACGTGCTACACTGGGATTAAGAATGTGTATATGTAAAAAAAAAAAGCATGTCATTCACAAATTGTCACGCTTAAGCAACAAGGATGGTGACCCAGTGAGTTACTGTTTTACCATCCAAATGATAATTCCTGTTCATTTTGTGTGCATTAGGTCCCATTTAATGTGGTGTTGCACGAAACAGGGGCCCCTAAACAAATCATAAACAATGCTCCCACTGCTCCTCTGGGTTTTATGGGTTTCCAGTAGCTCTCATTGGAGCTGAGCATATTTTATTTATTCAAAAAAAAATAAAAAAATCCCCGAGACAGCGGCACACACATGTGGTCATGGTTGAAGTGTTTTAGTAAGTTTTTTTTTAAATTCGGATAAAAATACAAATATGACACTGTGCTGATAAAATGGAAAAATGAGCAGCTGTTAATAGACAATAAACAGGCAGTAATAATCTCAACACCAGAGAGCAATGAGCCACCATGTCTAACTATTAATTCCTACATATTTATTTACTTTTTATATTTTATAAGACTTCAACACGTTATATAGGAATTTTGGACACGAAAGCTCTCGTCAAAGCCTTTGTTTCAGGTGCTGATTATCAAGTTCATGAATCACTTTAAACAAAGCAGCAACGTGCAACAGGCCCATAACATGTAAACCCTTTCCTCTCCAACACGATGGAAACCAATTATAAACCATGTTCATGAGTGGAGAAATGTACTCTTAATTCATATGTTTTAAGTTTGACATTTCTGAGGCGAGTTCCTGTTCAGGTTATAACACCCAAGTAGATGATTTGTAGGCCAACTATCAGAAATCGATTGGAAAGGTGTCCGAATTAAGACATATCAATGACAGATCTGTCACAGTGAACTTGAACGCAGTTTAAAAGTGTCTGTCAGCCTCAGTTACAACCAGGACAACACATTATTATAAAAGATGGTAAGCTGACAAAAAGGATACATGGCACCTTTTATAGGTCAGGACATTGACTGAAATAAAATGATAACGTGTAATACATTTAAGCCAAGAGAAAATATATTTTAATGGGAATTTTTTATTGAGGCATTATGAGAAATGTCTGAGTAAATAAGACATTTTTATTGATTTTCCTAACTTCAGCATTATATTAAGATTGGCACGACAGCCTCCACTAGCCAAAACTCCATTTAAAGCTTTTTTAAATTCAAGTGCAGCAGTAGTATTATTTATATAAAAGAAAATCAATTATATTTATTTATTACTGAGGAACAAGACTTAAAAATAAACCTAGCAGACCACACGCAAAGCTATTTCTCTTTGAGTTTATTTTGTTTTATATGATTTATTTATTTTATTTAATTACTTTTTTCCTGTATTTTATTTTTCAGTAAAATAGTTTAATTTTACAACACAATGGCTTTGCACAGGTGCGCACTTTTCATTTTTATATTTTCCTAAGAAAGCATGTTGTAATGCTTCTTAATAACAAAATAACGTGCAAAACCCAAACAGATAAACTTTGCGACACCACTGTGGTCTTCTTTACACATCTATGCATTGGTCACATCTTTTACACTACTCACATACATCCGTCCACCAGCAGCGGGCTTTTTTTGTGCTTCTTTTTTGGTTTTTTTTGGTCTTTTTTTTCATTGGCGACATCAAATCAATGGTAAGCCACTTGGACAAACCAAACCAGAGATATACACTGGGCTGCATTTATCACACAAACTGACATTTCGGTCATCCACATGCGCCAGCACCAGTAAACAGAAAGCCACACAAACAGATCTGCTGGTAACTTTGTGAGTACAACTTTTTGGAGTCAACAGCGATAAAGAGAGTGAGGGGGCGGAACCCTGCTGAGCCCCTGCGCTGAACGACAGCCAATCGCTTCGTTCTCCTAACTGCCAGTCACCGAAATCCGTCCAATACCCGCAGTGCCATTTCTAAACTGTATTCCCCACTGTGTCCTCCAACTGTTGTATGTTCTGCCAATCGCTTGAGGACAGAGTGGGAAAAGGAGCAAGCAGAGTTAGAAGCCGGACAAAAGAACTTATAGACCCCTTATATACATATTTTCCTAATGTTTTAGAGAGCGTGGTGTGGTGAAAAACAATTGCGGTGAGTGCGGATGGACTTGTCAGTGTAGTTATGGAACCCCCTTTAAGCAAGAGGAATCCGGCGATAAGATTAGCGGATTTGGCAGCGACTCAACCCCTTCCTCATCAGAATATGACAGGCTTCCCGGGGCTAGGGGGGCATCACCCTCTCTCCCACCATGCCCACCTCCACCCTGGGGAGCTGGGCAACGACCCCGGAGTGGCACTCACTCCATTTGGACCAGAGCACATGGCACAGACAAATGCTCTCAAACTTAGCCCATCTCAGCACATTCAGAGCCATCCCGAAGCCCAGACCGCGGCATCTTTCACTTCTGCTCAGACCACAGTTGGTTTCCCCGTGGCTCACCCCCACTCAGGCTACTCAAGCAGCAGGGACTTCATCCTCAGGAGAGAACTCTCAGCCTCTGCTATGCATGCACTTGGCGACCAGCATAGTTCCGCCTCCTCCCCTCATCACCATGGCATGTTCATCTCCCCAACAGGTGCTTATGGGCACACGGAAAGTGGGGCCCATTCACTTTTCACTGGACTTCACGACCAGGCGTCCCCAGGTGCCCACCACCATGCCCTCAATGGGCAGATGCGCCTGGGTATACCGGGGGACATCTACGGCAGGCCAGAGCACTTCGGGCACAGGCCAGAGCACTATGGACCCTCTTCTCTCCACAGCTACAACTCCATGAACCTCAATGTGAACATCGCTTCTGCTCCGCACGGAGCGGCGGGGGCGTTTTTAAGATACATGCGGCAGCCCATAAAGCAAGAGCTAATCTGCAAGTGGATTGACCAGGAGCAGAACCAGAAGAAGCCCTGCTCGAAAACTTACAGCACCATGCACGAACTGGTCAACCACGTCACGGTGGAGCACGTCGGGGGACCGGAGCAGAGCAGCCACGTCTGTTTTTGGGAGGAATGTCCACGGGAAGGAAAGGCTTTCAAAGCGAAGTACAAACTGATAAATCACATCCGAGTTCACACGGGAGAAAAACCCTTCCCGTGTCCGTTCCCGGGCTGTGGAAAAGTGTTCGCCCGATCGGAGAATTTAAAGATTCACAAGAGGACTCACACAGGTCAGTACGTCTCATTGTGTAAAACTTGCATACAGGCAATGTGAACTAAAAATATTGGCCGTGTGTCGCTGCTCATCCTGAACGGATGGACGGTGCCAACGCACGCCGCTTAAATTGCGCACACTGGCGAGCAAAGACCAAAGTTTTATTCAGAGACGCGTTCTCGCAGTGACTAAACGTGTTCCATTTCATTTTCGTAAAAATAAACTTTTTATTCGCCGAGACGTCTGCAGTAGGCGTGAGTGGATTAGGGCATATCATTTGTAAAACGTGCTTACGTACGTGCAGGACAGCGCTGGAACACGCGTAAATGTAATTATCCTCAGGCGTAGGACGTTTACGCAAAAGCTCAGTTTATATATTGAGGCTATGCACATGGTTAACTGCAGCGTACCAGTCTCCAGATGCATTAGGTTTTAAGCATTGGTTTGCTGTTGTAGGCTATAGGCTCTGTGCTGCTGTCTGCACACAAATGTATCCGGGTGTACTGTCCGACGAAAACAACATGCTTCGTGGTGAAATGCATTGTGTTTAAAGTTTAAGACAGTGAGCCTCGTGTGCAGGAGCACTTTTCCAAATCGTTTAAATCACGAGTGCTCTTTCTGAGAGATGTTTTTTAATTGTTGTTACAGAGACTCTGTGTTTTTGGCTGAAGAGAAAGCTTCATTCTGGCCTTTCGCCACCAACACCAACAGCCCTTTACACCTTACTGAATGATGTAAAATCCTAAGGGAAATAAATAAGTCATGTACCAAAAATATAAGTCACCAGAGAGTTACCTTCTTCTCGTTGTTTATCATTTTGAAACCGCACACTGCAGTTTTACATGCATGCAGACCATGATTAAATAAAATGCATGTTTTCCATCAGAGTGTGACAGTGTGTGTGTGTGATGAGTTATAACCACCACGGTACATAAACGGCTCTTGGTGGTCTCTTGAGTGCCCCTCTCCCCCCCCTACCCAACATACACACATACATGTAACCAGAAAGGCCTAAAGGCATGTTACACGTGTTCACACATGAAAATGCTTTGCACTAGTGGGTGTGGAGGTCGTGGGCTCTACAGTAGATGTTTAGTGAATAAGCTTCACAGAGCAGCTCACGAGAACACTCATGCACTCATGTTGTATTTATTTAAGGTGGAATGCTGAGGGAGAAGCTCTGGTGCAGTGGGTAATGGGAGATGTGGGGGAAATTAATTTTCAGTTCATCTTGTTCATCTCTTTACTGGGGGTGTTTTGTTTTTTTAAAGTCAATGACATTATGGCACGTGACATTGACTGCATCTGTCTCTCATCCATTCCAGGAGAGAAACCCTTCAAGTGCGAGTTTGACGGCTGCGACAGAAAGTTCGCCAACAGCAGCGACCGGAAGAGCCTTAAGCACTCCCACGTCCACACCAGCGACAAGCCTTACTACTGCAAAGTGCGCGGCTGTGACAAATCCTACACCCACCCGAGCTCCCTGCGCAAGCACATGAAGGTGCACTGCAAGTCCCCGCCGCCCACCTCCACCAACGTCACCTACATTTCCTCCACAAACCCTCTGGGAGACCCCCTTTCGCCCGGCCCCGAGCCGCACAGGAACCGCTCCGCGAACCTCTCCCCTCAGGTCACCAACCTCAACGAGTGGTACGTGTGCCAGGGCAGCGGAGGACCCAACCACCTCCACACCCCCTCCAGCGATGTGCCAACGTCAGATTCGGACGACGAGGACTCTTTCAGAAATTCAGACCCGAGGACAATGCTCTGATGAACCTGTTTACAAACCACGTGACTGTCTAAACTCGTCACCCACTTGACCCCCGCTAAAGTGTTGTAGAATCCATGCTGGCCCCCGCGCGCTTATTGGGATATTGATCAGTTATTTTGCAGCTGTAGTGTTACTATCATCGTGGATGCAACGCAGGCCTACTAGCGAGGCTGAGGTGACCCCTGACCTCTCTTCAAATGTAGATCCGAACTGTCAAAATAAAACATTTGGCAGTGATATTAGAAGTGAAATTAAAAATGTAAAAGCATCCTCCCCTTCCTTCTTTGAAAAGGACCAAACATTTTAAAGTGAGCCCATTTCTGAATAGAACTTTTCAAAATGAATAATCTTTTTTTTTTCTTTTCTTTTTTTTTTACAAGAGCAATATGCAGGGTTTAATTAACTGCATGACTTAAGACTCAACTGGTGTGCTGAAATGACATTTTTCATGTGACCTCCCATCATCCCCTTGCAGTTTAATAACTTGCCTGCCATCAATCACTGTCATATTCCAGACATTTAAGGAAAACAAATGGTACTGCTTGTAACCCAGCGAATGGCAACAAATGTTAGTGGACAGAATATAGAAGATGAGGCTTTTTTTTATTGATTTCTTTAAGATGTGGTACAAACTTTGATAAATCAATAAGGAAAAAATAAATAAATGAGGAGGCAAACATCTGAGTGTCTTAAGGGTTCTCATTTACCTTTTCAGATTTATACAATACATGTGTTTGGATGGAATTTTGTAATATTTAAGAACTATTTAAGACTATATTTTATGCAAAATACACAAGTGTTATGCTCGTTAAAGAGTACGAGTAAGTCCCTTGAGACCCTAAATGTCTACACTGACAGGCTTTGACCCTGTAGGATTTGTATATATGTAATTGTACTGATGCTTGTGAATGTTGTGTAGTTTTAATTACAGAAACATGTTGTTTTGTACATTGTAATTTATTTGCTGGTATCAATGTTGTACTGGAATTACAGGAACACCAAAGAATAATAATATCAGTTTTGGTGATGCATAGTACCCTGCTGATGTTTTTTTGTTTTTGTTTTTGTTTTTTTAAATGTTAATTTTTTGTTCACTTTTTTTTTTTTTAAATTGTGGTCTGTAAAAGAAGAAAACATTTACTTGAATAAGCTGTGTAATGTGAAAAGTCCCTTTCTCGCATGCCTTTTGTAGTGATCTGTCTTTCTCTTTGAGGTGCATGGTGCAGTTGCACATGATGGATAAAAAAAAGAGATGAATCAGTTATGATTGTGCAGACCCTTGATGTTCAAAATTAAATTTACAATATAAATTTCATGCTAAAAATTAATAAAAAAAAACAGGACATATACAGTAAATAATTAACAAGTGTCAAATTATTATTATTTATGTTAGTTTGATTAATAAAAGTTTGGGGAATTAGAGACTCAGTGGAACTGGACTGGCTACACATAAATTCAGCTGGACTAATGGTAATTTTTGGAGTCCTATTTTTTGTAAAAATGTATTTTAGGAAGCTGTGCATATTTCTGGTCAAATAATTTCCTTTTTTTTAATGAGAAATGGAACAAACCATCAGTGTCATTCTCACTTCAAATGAAAAAGCTGAAGTAGCTGTTCACTTCCTACGCTGACATTTCTATAAAATATCCACTGTTATCTCAGAAATAGGCCTAACGGGCCAAGGAGGCTGGTATAAACTAATCACTGAGCTAATGGGAAAACTTATAGCCCCCTGATGGCGCTACCTCTGAAAGCCGCGACAGCACAAAGCAGCCGAAGCATGAATCATTCATGGGAAAAGTAAAAGATAAAAGATATCTGACAATAAGCAAGGCCTTGTATAGAGTGTATAAAACAAGTTCCCCCTCTTATTTCCTCCATTAAAACGCACAATCTCACTTTCAAAGAGTTGCCTGTCCAGTCTATAGAATTAAAATTGACCAACGCGAGTCCTGCACCACTTCAAAGGCTGCAGCTTCTGAGAGGAAGCCTGGCCGCTTTGACACTCTTCATGGTGCGTTAAGATTTCTATGGCAATAGGGTAGTGAGACGCTCACATTTGAATGTGTCTGGTTGAAAAACACTAACTGCTACTAAATGAACTATAATCAAAGCTCAGGATGCACCCTCTCTAAAAAAAGAAAGAAAAAAAGGTGTGTTGCCACAAAACGAAACTGCTGGCAGGTAGATGACCCACAAGCTGCAGACACCCTGGTTACATCTGCCTGGTAAGAATTGGACACATTAAGAAGATTACAAAAAAAAAAAAAACATTTAAACAGATGGAAACCTTGTTAAAACACACACACACACATTGAAAACGGTTCTGAGCTGCACGCTGCATCAATTAAGACACTTGACTCAGGTCAACCTGGAGGATTGTTGGGACTGCGGCCATAAAAAGCACACTTAATCAGCACTGGAGTGCAAACAATCTCGAATATTAACCAAATTTTACAGCCCGGAAAAAGAGCCACTTCAGCAGCATTAGGAGGCTTTAGGCAAAAACTGCAGGCTTGTTTAGCTGTATTAAAGAGGCTTTATCAAATGTATAGCTCCTCCTCTAAGCGTTTTTGAAAAAACACTTTATCTGCTGCTTCCTTCAATTAATAAGCACTTGTGGGCCTCCTCTCGTTTTGTGCAGACTTTTATGGGGATGAGGGCCCGAAGAGTCGCCTGCTCTTGTGCGTCCCCGTTTTGGAAACAAGCCCTCAATGAATGTTACAAAATAAACACGATGAAAAATAACCAGAGACAGTTCCTTCGGCATTAAAAGGAGTGAGACTTAATAAAAGGAGTGAAGCAGTCACCCTTCAGTGAGAAACGCTTTGAAGTAGAACTTATTATCTGAGAAATACTTTTTGGTTGTCCTAACGACGCTGCTGAATGGGAAAGGCGCTCCTTTGTCAGCGATTTGTTCTCCTTTAGTGGGATGCCCGTGGAAATCACTTACATGGGCCACCTTAACATACTGCCTGCAAATCAGTAACTGGCAGAGTCAGACATGCAGACGCCACTTTGGAGAGGACAAAGCAGAAAGTCGCAGTGAAAACGCCGCTGCTTCTCAATTGCGCCCTTTAAAGGGGTTGAATGATAATTTCTCAGACGAGCGTAGAACCAAAACAAACGCCGTCTTGTCAGACTTTACAAGCATTATCCATCTCCTGAATGCTGTCGGCACAATGCGCACCAAAATGGCTTGTGAAGTGATCATTTTGGTCACAAAAGTTAAGAGGCTCAGTAAAAAAAAAAGACAAAAAAAAAAACCAGACAAGGATACAGTCAGGTTGAGTCGCAAAAGCAACCTGCGCCCGAAACTCGCAGCGCGGCGTTTCTGGCCACCGTTGACGGCAAAGACGAGAGAAGTTGTGGCGATGTATTTTTTTTTTTGTTTGGGGTAGGGGGGGTAGAATGAATAAGCAAAAGAAAATAATGAAGTCGAATTTTTTATTGGTTGATTTTAGGCATAGCTTTGTTTATGTATGAACAAGAAAGCAGGTGTGAGAAGCAACCGGGACGTCCTCCACCGACGCCACCCACGCGCCACGCCCACCCAGAATTTCCGCAATACAGAGATAGTATCCTTTTTACTCACAGCATAAGTAAGTCGGCGATCTCTTCCTGTGTTTAGTTACGTCAGTTGTGCAAAACTTTAAAATGACAATCGCCTGGCTCTCGGGTCCAAATGGATGACAGACGGTGGAAACGGATATCTTAATTAATAGTTATAGAGTGTGCATGTGTTAAGACGAAGAGGAAACAGAGTGTAGGAGTAGAAGCAAAATGATGACGCTGGGAGACATAAGAGGCAGACGACGGGTATTTGGTATAGCGCTATGTTCGTGTGTAAAGGTTAGAGTGGTGGCCCATGGTTGAGATGGCTTACATCGTAATTACAGCCGTTTTTCCAGAGACAAGACTAACTGTTCGTCGATTCGTTATTTATGCTCCGGTGTAATGTGAGTAATAAAGAAATTCCGGCAGATTTTTATTGCGCGTTTTACGCTCAACCTGCAGCAAACACACATCACACACACACACGACCCACACACAACAGCACACAGCACCACACACAGCATGCGTAAACCCCCCAAAGAAAAGGAGGGGGGGGCTGTTGAATTAGTGCACCTGTCAAAGTTGTAGTAAGTTTCCGCCACAGGATTATTGTAAACTAGCAAAATGGTATGCCATGTATGTGCATCACTATGTGTATGCGCCTTTGCCACCACCCTGTTGTGTGGCGCGAGAGGGTTTGCTCGGACAGTTGTTCAGATATTCATTCCTCTGGATTTTTCTTTAACCAAACACTCTCTCTCTCACTGTTACGTACTGGACACATATTTGCTGAGTCCAAGGGCGATTTGTGCCAAACGCCCCGCGCGCCCCCCTCCTGGCGCCAGAAGCTCCGCACCTGGCTACTGCTTTGAAGTTTCATGATCGAAGTCAGAAGAAACGCAGTCCAGGTTTCCGAGACTGCCTTCGGAGCTTGTGTGGCTGTTTTGCGTCGTCCTTTCTTCGAGTAGGAAGCAGGGCGCAAGACTCAGGCTTTTATTCAGTCAGTAGGTTTTACATACAGCCTGCAGGGAAGGCAGTGTCGGCAGCGAGCTTGATAAGGAGCGGCTCAAGAACTCAGCTATTTTTGAGGAAGGACTGCTTTTCTCCTCCCCTGGGTTCATGGATGGTGGACAGCGTTGGGAGGAGGGGAGGGAGGAGGAGGAGGAGGGGGACTCAGCGTTTTACACTCGGACTGTCGGACGTCTGCAGAGGGAATGTCGCTCCTCTCCAGCCCAACTTCAGCAGCTGTGGTTTCACCTATTAGCCCCGATGTCTTTCCCAAAGGAGTGCGAGAGTTAAACATCTGACAATGGGCACGCCGGGGGGTTACTCAACTGACCTGTACTTGGTTTTAGTTTCATAGGAACTTCATTAAATCAATTACCCAGAGCGCACATCATGATTTTTGTTTTCTTAATGAGAAAAAAAAGAAAGAAGTGTTTTTCACAGTTTTAGCCTGTTCTATAGAGCAATCTTGCAGGTTCTTGTTAAGCATAATCATAACCTCGATGTGCTGTTGAAGGAACTTGCTTTATTCTTGCTCTGACATTTAGAC